TAGGCCATAGGATAGGTCATAAGGAATCCATTAGGCCATATGAAAAAACGAGGTTCCGGACACTTTCTGCCACAGGAACCCATTGGGCCATATGGAAAAACGAGGTTCCGGACACTTTCTGCCAGAGGGAATCCATTAGGCCATATGGAAAAACGAGGTTCCGGACACTTTCTGCCAGAGGGAATCCATTAGGCTTATGAAAATCTGGTTCTGCTAACGCTGGGTTGGGGCGCAGAAGCCTAATAATCCGTTTAGAATCCGTTTTGGATGCATGAGGGAATGCGTTTGGTAATCCGTTTGGAATGCGTGCGTTTTCGCAGGTCCGTTTTGGATGCGTTTTGGATCCGTTTTGGATGCGTTTTGGATCCGTTTTGGATGCGTTTTGGATCCGTTTTGGATCCGTTTGGGGCCCCAGCCCCGGAACACCAAAACGGATTTGCAACGGGCCCCAAACGGACCCCCTGACGGGTCCGCAGGCGGGTCCCCCAGATGGGTCCCCGGCGGGTCGCCGAAACCACGAATCCCTCGAGAGGGATCCGTTTTTAATCCGTTTTGGATCCGTTTTAAATCCGTTTTGGATCCGTTTTGGATGCGTTTTGGATCCGTTTTGGATGCGTTTTGGATCCGTTTTGGATCCGTTTTGGGGTCCCGGGGCTTGGGTCCCCAAACGGATCCAAAACGCATCCAAAACGGTTCCAAAATGGATTAAAAACGGATCCCTCTCGAGGGATTCGTGGTTTCGGCGACCCGCCGACAAACCCGTCTGGGGGATCCGCCTGCGGACCCGTCAGGGGGTCCGTCTGGGGCCCGCTGCAAATCCGTTTTGGTGTTCCGGGGCTGGGGCCCCAAACGGATCCAAAACGGACCCAAAACGGATCCAAAACGCATCCAAAACGGATCCAAAACGGATTAAAAACGGATCCAAAACGGATTAAAAACGGATCCCTCTCGAGGGATTCGTGGTTTCGGCGACCCGCCGGGGACCCATCTGGGGGACCCGCCTGCGGACCCGTCAGGGGTTCCGTCTGGGGCCCGTTGCAAATCCGTTTTGGTGTTCCGGGGCTGGGGCCCCAAACGCAACCCCACACGGATTTAAAACGGATCCAAAACGGATCCCCAAACGGATCTGAAACGCATATTTAGGAAATACAGCATTTCCAGAGTTAACAGGCAACAGATTTTCTTAACATTAGGCCATATGGAAAAACGAGGTTCCGGACACTTTCTGCCAGAGGAATCTGTTAGGCCATGACGTCGCGATGCTCGCAGCCTCTTCTGCTCCGTGTGAGTGACAAGATGAGTTTCCAACTCCGCATGTTTCCAGTCGGACAGTAGGCTTGCTGGGGATGCGAGAGCTTCCTCCAGACGGTAGGGGTTGGCAGGGTTCACAGACGCGACGTCATAGACTGTTGTGTTGCATGTACGGACCCCCCCCCCCCTCCATTTCAATGATGTCGTCTGCTCGGAGGTGCGTGTCGTCTGCTTGCGCAGGGCTTTGTGGCCGTGCTGCTCCAAACATTGAGATTTGGGGGAGGGGGATGTGCCGCGGTGGCCTTGTCGGCGTGCCGGTGTCACAGCAGTACAACCGTTTCTGATGGTCAGGTTCTTGTCCGTTCGGAGGTCAGTGGCTTAAAATCTGGTCTTGTTCCAGCTACCCTCCCAATGCGTAGTTTCTGGGGACACATGGTGGTTCCCCCTCTGTATCGAGAAGGTCGGCGGATGCTACGGATTTTGAGAAATGCACTTAACTGCGGGACCCCCCCATTGCAAAACGGGGTTGCATCTTCATCTCCGTCAAATCTGTTGCTCTTTAAGTCAGTTCCATCATGTAATCGGAGTCTGGGATTGCTTCATGGTTGCTTGTCTCTTTTGGAACTTGCAGACTCGAGGTGCATGTTGCTGTCAAAAATCCACCTCTATGGCCTCAGCAGGCCTCAAGCGCCCGCAAGTGAAGCCTCGAAGGCCTTTGTGAAAGTGGTCAGCGCAGGCGGCTCCAAATGTGGGGTCGAATAGTCTGAGCAATTTTAGCTTCGCTTGAGTGGCCCCCCTCTGTCGCTCGGTCCTAAAATTTGGGCCTAAAAGGCCGAAGATCGTTGCGTCCTACGGCCCTGAGCCCCATCGATCTTTCGTTTTTAGCCCGAGGCTGTAGGCTCAACACCCTTTCGATTTTGAATCAGCTTCCTTCTAGACGATCGATTGTGGTCCAAACCCCCGCTTCATAAGAGAGAGGCCGCAACTTTTCGGCGGTTTCTGGGCTCTGCGTCCACTCCGCGCGTTAGTTGTCAACCCTTTCCGCCCGTGTTAGTTGTCAACCTAGTTGTCAACCTAGTTGTCAACCTAGTTGTCAACCCAGTTGTCAACCCAGTTGTCAACCCAGTTGTCAAGCTAGTTGTCAACCCAACCACCGTGTTTCGGTTGCGAAAATCCAACGGGAGTTTTGACCCTGCGTCCTGAGGTCTTCACTGTAAAGCACCCACGGAAGCACCAACGGTAGCACCCACGGTAGCACCCACGGTAGCACCCACGGTAGCACCCACGGTAGCACCCACGGTAGCACCCACGGTAGCACCCACGGTAGCACCCACGGTGGCACCCACGGTAGCACCCACGGTGGCACCCACGGTAGCACCCACGGTAGCACTCACGGTAGCACCCACGGTAGCACCCACGAGTGCTAAGGAAATTGTCAACCCGATTGTCAACCCGTTGTCAACCCGATTGTCAACCCACCCTGAGTCCGCCGATATATCACCGCCGGAGTCACTGCCGGACCACTGCCAGAGCTACCGCCGCAGCCGCCGTTGCCGCCGCCGGAGCCGCCGCCGTCACGCCGCCGGAGCCACCGCCGGAGCCACCGCCGTCACCTTGCTGGTACTGCCGCCGCCGTCCGACCGTTTGCATTTCGCGCATGCGTGCTCATTTTGCAGGATTTTGCACATCATGGATCTGACATGAGTGTGAGAGCGAGCTACGGTAACTGAGGGGAGCGCCTTGTCCCGTCCCCGAGACCTCGCCCCATGCAGTTCCATGATCCGCGCCCGCGGTTCAAGACGGCACATGTGGGCACGCACGGTAGCACAGACCTTAGGGCACGGCAGTCACGTCACCACAGGCACAGCATCACAGCACAGCATCACAGCACTGCACAGCACCGAAGCACAGCACTGCAGCACCGAAGTATAGCACCGCAACACAGCACGGAGGCACACGTTTCATGCTATTTAGCGACGAGGAAGTAGCAATGTGGCTCGCTTGGCTGTGGACGGTGGGGGTGATCTCCGTGCTGCATGTCGCTCGTGCTGTGGTGAATGAGACCGCGGGGCCCCCCAAGGTAGCAGATCTGCAGATGTCATCTATCTGGTGGTATCGGGTTATTGGAGGAGGCGAGGCACCGGCGAGCGCTTTGACAGGAGGAGGCATGGTCACTGCAGAGACCGGTGGGACAGCGGTGGCAGAGGCGATCCCGGCAGAGACCGGTGGGACAGATGCGCCGGCAGCACCGGCAGAGCCGACAGCAACAGCAGAGCCACCAGCAGAGCCAACAGCAGAGCCACCAGCACCAGAGCCAACAGCAGAGCCACCAGCACCACCAGCACCAGAGCCAACAGCAGAGCCACCAGCACCAGAGCAACAGCAGAGCCACCAGCACCAGAGCCAACAGCAGCAGAGCCACCAGCACCAGAGCCAACAGCAGAGCCACCGGCACCAGAGGCAACGGAGACAGCAGAGACAGCAAAGGCAACGGCAGAGCCGGTGGAGTCATCCAGCTCGTCGACTTCGTCGAGCTCGGAGAAGGTCGCAGACAGGGTGGATGCAATGATTGCGCAAGCGGAGAGGGAAGAGGAAGAAGAACAAAGGGAGCAACAGGAGCGAGAGCAGCTGGAGAAGCGGCGACAAAAGGCGGAGGAGCAGCGCCGCCAGCTCGAGGAGAAGCGTCGCAAGCTCGAGGAGGAGCGCCGCAAGGCAGAGGACGATCGTCGCAAGGCGGAGCAAGAGCGCCGACAGAAGCAAGCAGCAGAGCGGCAAGAGGCTGAGAGGAGGCGTTTTGAGGAGGCCGTCAGCCAGGAGGTGTCGAGACGTTTCGATGCGGCACACCAGGCCGGTCGTGAGCTGCCGGACCTGATCCGCTTGTGCAGAGTATTGGAGCGCCGCGACCAGCAAACGCAGCAGCAGCTCGACGTGCTGGGTCGGATCCTCGAGGCAGTCGTGGAGCAAACGGAGAAAGCGCAGGGCGCTCACCGCGAGCTTACCGCTCGCCTACTGGGCCTGGTGGGCCAAAGCATTGGCCGCGAACTCAGCAGTGCGACTGCATCTCGAGCTCCCCCACGACCGCGGTGCATGGTTTGCACTGCATGCAAAGTGCAGCCGCCAACCGGCTGTAGAAGAGGACCATGCGAAGCATGGGGCAAAAAGGGAGGGCTCGATGGGGCTGCAACTCCAGGTGGGTTTGCAGGAGCTGCAACTCCAGGTGGGTTTGCAGGAGCTGCAACTCCAGCTGGGGCACCCGCAACGCCCCGGGGCCTAGACGGCCGGTTCCGTTCTGCAGAGTCTTCGAGGCAACCGTCGGAAGCGTCGCATGCTGGAGAAGGACCGCCTGCTGGAGAAGAGCCGCGAGAAGGACCGCCTGCTGGAGAAGGGCCGCCTGAGCCAAAAAAGCGCAAGCACAAGAAGGAGAAAGACAAGAAAGACAAGAAGGCCAGGCTCTGCCAGTCAGACGGCAAGGGATCAGACAAGCCTCCGGACCCGGACGGTGGGGGGCGCACGCATCGGCCCTGCGGAGCAGCATTGGGGTTGAGGGGCGCGATCGTTGGGCCCACGGGCCGGAGGGCCCACGGGCCGAGAACATGTGGGTGCCGACCCACGGAGCATTGGGCCTGCGGACCACCGTTGGGCCCACGGGCCGGAGCATAGGGCCCAAGGGCCGCGAATCTCCACCCACGCGTTCACACCGTCCCCCTTCAGATCTCCAGTGCTCGAAAAGTCATTCGTCCGATCCGTAGGCAACTCAGGCAGCCATGCCGAACCAGCCAGCACCGGAGAACAGGCGCATCCGCTACCTTGAGAAGCTGATCGAGAGCGGCCGCACCCAGACCCTCGACAACCCTCGCGATCTCCTCCCGCAGAAGTTCAAGAAGGAGCTCGCGGAGAAGCAGCTCCAGCGGGACCAGGGCATCGCCAACCGCCGCCACACCACCGCGGAGTCCAACCGGGTGATCAGCTCTCTGGGAGGGATCGTGGAGGCCGCGTCCGCCACCAATGCGGAGGAGATCCGCCGCGGCAACGCCACGGTGGTGGCGCACGTGGACCGCGGCTTCAGCGAAGTCAAGGATGTGCTCACTCAGGTGGTGGGCACGCCGGGCAGCTCCAAGCACTGGGAGCAGCAGGAGGTCTACGCCCGCAACGAAAAGAAGCGCGCCGCCAAGGAGGAGCGCCAGGCTTCCCGGGCGGCGGAGAAGCGGCGCAAGCTCGAGGAGCCCTACCGCGTGGAGCGCCAGGAGGGCGACGTCGAGGTCGCCGGCGTGGTGCTCCGCGGCGAGGGCATCGCCTGGGCCCAGCACCACCAGGTCGACGCCGAGCTCGAGATCAACGGCGTGCGCTGCCGCCTGGTGCTGCTGGGCACCCCGAGCCTCGTGCAGCTCGTGGGCATCGGCCAGGAGCAGCTCAAGAAGCTCGCCGATGCCGCCACAGTCTTCGCGCTGAACAAGGGCGCCGAGAAGTTCGTGCGGGCCCGCATCGTGAGCGACGGCAAGCGCCCCGCCAAGCTCCTGGACGAAGACGACACTGAGCCGCGTGGTCGCCGTCCGCGTGCAGCTGCGCGGCAGGCCATGGTTGCCTGCCGTCCCGGTCAAGGAACACCTCGCAAAGGGCACGGAGCTCCTGGTGCACGGGATGGCCTGCAGCGTCCTCGCTCCCGGCCTTGTGAAGGTCCACGACGTGCCAGAGATGATCAAGTTCCTGCGGGACAAGGCTCCCTTCCCGGAGCTCAAGGTTGTGGACGCCGGTGGCCTGCACGGCTGCCTCCCCGCGGATTGCCGTGACAGGGTGCCGATGCACGCCAAGAAGCTGCTGGCAGTCCGTCCGCAGGAATGCTCGGGGGTCAACTTGTGAGCGCCGCCTAGCATGGATTCGTGGGCTGTGTGCTGTGTGCTTGAAAACACTGCAAAACATCACAGCACAGCAACAGCACGCAGCAACAACACACGGCACACACAGGATCCCGCTGACGAACTTGAGGGGTGAGGTCCTGACGCTGTTTTTGAAAAGGGTTGCTGTGTGCTGGGGGTGGGCTGGTTTAGGGGGTTTTGTTCCGGGGGTTCGGGGTCCCTAACCCTTTTGGAAGCCCCCGGTAGGAGTGCCAGCCAAGTGCCCTGCATGCAAGTGAGTGCGCGACGAGCCCCACCCCCGTAGGAGCCCGAACCCCTCGTCCCTGCCTTAGGTCCCGACCCCCTTTTGCTTCTGCCGCTGCTGCTTCAACTCTGTGCTTCTTCTGCCTTTTTGCTTCAAGCCGGGCCGGGGGGGCGGGGAGGGCGGGCTGGGTAGGGCGGGCGGTCGGGGCGGGCGGGGCGCGGCCGGGAACTCAGAGTGCTGCGGTAGGAGGGGTCGCCGGTAGGAGTGCTCTGTCGTGCGAGGCTTCGGGGTTTGTTCAGGGTTTGTTCGGTTTCAGGTGGTTTGGGCTCCGAGGCTGCCAGGCAGTGTTTGTGCGCTCCCCTCCCCGACCCTCTCCCTCCTCCTTGCTCTCGCCGCCCAGGTCCTCTTCGCTCGCGGCCGGGCTCCCGCAGTGTAGCCGTAGGAGGGTCGCCACTAGGAGTGCAGGTAGGAGTGTCTGTGCGCGCGAGGTTCAGGGTTTGTTCGGTTTGCAGGTCTTTGGGGGGGCTCCGAGGTTGCGAGGCAGTGTTGTGCGTGCTTGTGGTTTGCGCTCCCTCCCCGCCCCCTGCTCCTCCCCTTGTCGTCGTGCTGGGCACTCCCCCCTAGGCTTCAGGGTGTTCCGAGGCGGTTTTTTGGATTTCCTAGGCAGCGAGGCAGTGGACTGTGCGCGCAAGGCTTCGGGTTTGGTTCAGGGTCATTTCGAAGGTTGGAAGGCGTGGGGCGCGAGGGCTTCTGCTGAGGGTTTTGGGGTTCTGGGGGTTTTTAGGTCCCGAACCCCTTGGGGTCCCCCTAGGCTGCCTTGCATCCGGGATCCCCGGCCCCCTCCTCTTCGCCCAGGTGCTGCCGCCGGCGGCCACCGACGCGACTTCACGCGACGGGTTAAAAAGAGGGGCCAGGGGGGCCGAGCGGGAGCACCACTCGCGAGTCCCGGTCCCCCTGGCCCCGCACCGCCGCGCCCTCCGTGCTTGCCCTCCAGGACGCCGAGCCCGCCGCGGCCCATGGAGCCCACCGCCATCGCTGCCTTGGAGCCCGCCGCTGTTGCCGTCCCGGGCATCCCGAGGAGGCCGCCGCCGCGGCACCCGAGGAGGTCCCGCCGCCATCGCTGCCTTGGAGCCCGCCGCCGAGGAGCCCGCCGCTGTTGCCGTCCGGAGCCGGTCCCGCAAGCCGCCGAGGCCACCATGGAGCCCGCCGCCGCTCCCGAGGAGGAGCCCGCCGCCGCCGCGGCACCCGAGGAGGTCCCGCCGGAGCCCGCCGCCGTCGCCTCCGAAGAGGCTTCGCAGGAGCCCTGTTACTGGTGGGGGGCTTTGTCCTCGACAGGACCGGCAAGCCCAACGAAAAGGTTTTGGGCGACATCTACCATGCCGGCCAGGTCCTGCAGAAGATGAAGCACGAGGCCATTTTGCATCTCTACAAGGACGGCCGCAAGGGGGGCACGCCCAAGGTGGTCAGCATGGTCCCGGAGATGGTGGATGACCGCCGCAGCGGCCAGGCCTTCAAAGTGGACGGCTCCATCGCGAAGGTGGCGCGGGTCACGATGTTGCTGCCCAGGCCCACCATGTGCGGCGGCTGCTGGGGCTACTGGGAGTCCGAGGGCCGCCTACGCATCGTCAGCGACTTCCAGGCGCTCCTCGAGGCCGACCCCATGCCCTTCGGTCCGGAGATCGTGCACAGTGCACGGCCTCCAGTCCTTCCAGGAATACGATCCCAACACAAAGTCCATCCGCTGCGAGGGCGGGCTCGTCGTGCCCCTGAGCCAGGTGCACTACATCGTCGCCGACATGTGATCCGGAAGCAGCGCCCCAACGGACAGAGTGCGGTGCAAAAAGTCTTCGAGCTTATCGTGTGCAGTGTAGGTCCCCCGGAACCCCCTCCATCCCGAACCCCCTCCGCGGATGCAACGCTGCAGCGCTGCAGCCTTTGGTTCGAACCATGGAGTGCCCTAGGTGCGGAAAGAGATTTACCCGGGCCGCCGGGCTCCGGGAGCACGTCGCCGCCGTGCACGAGGGCCGCCGGGACCACGAGTGCCCGCAGTGCCACAAGCGCTTCGGCTTCGCCTCGGGGCTCCGAGAGCACGTTCGGCTCGCGCACGAGAACGTGCGCCCGCACTGCTGCGGCCTCTGCGGCCAGACCTTCCACAAAGCCGCGGACCTCCGCGCCCACGCCGCCATCCACGAGCGCCGCGGTTTCGTGCACCGCAGCGGCCGGGAGGCGTGCGTGGAACGTCTGCTGCGTTGGGAGGAGCTGCCCTTCCGTGCGCAGCTCCGGGTAGATTTCACGGATGGCTCCAGCCATGGCGGCCACGCGCTGCTGGACTTCGCTGTCGAGCGGGACTGGGGGCTCATCGCCCTGGAGGTGGATGAAGGACAGCACGCCTCCAGAGAGCCGGCGGACGAGTGCCGCCGCATGGTCGAGATCTTCCGCTCGCGAAGCCGGCCCCCGGGCAAGCTGCGGTTTCTGAGGTACAACCCGGACTGCGGGCTGCACGTGGTGGAGCGCCACGGGCGGCTGCTGGAGGCGCTGGCGGAGCCGCCGCCGGCCGGCGACCTGGAGATCCTCTACCTGTACTACGACCTGCCGGCGCCGGGCGCTGCGCTGCCGAGCGTCTGCCTGAGGGCCGACTACCTGGAGGAGCTTAGGGCCGTCGCCCGCGCCTACTGAGCAAAAAGAGCCACGCCAGTTCTCGGGACGCAAGCGCATCTCGCCGCGAAGCCGTTTTAGGTTGCATGCGGTGGCTGTGTAGTGCTCAAGCCTGTAAGCATTGGAAGCCATGGCTGCAGCCGGCGAATTCGTCTTAGGGTGGCTCTTCGAGGCCACCTTTCCGCAGCACGCGGAGTTCACGGAGCGGCCGCAGCCGCTGCTCCAGTACAGCCGCCCCTGGCAGTGCAGCTGGGACTACACCGCCTGGGCGAAGGTCATCCTGCGCTGCCTCCTCTGCGGCGCGGTCCCGCCGCACCGGCGCTTCGAGGTGCGCATGCACCTGCAGCGCGCCGGGCGGCTGGCGGCTATCTGCAACGACGTCGAGATGCGCGACGTGCTGCGCGCCAGCTGGATCCTGGAGCGCCCCGTGGTGCCGGCCAGCTGGTTCCTGGGCGCGGCTCGAATCGTGGGAGAGAGCGAGGACTACATCCACGTGGTCGACGCCGCCCTGCCGGAGCGGCCCGCCGGCGCTCGGGAGCTGCCACTCGACGGCGAGGCTCCAGATTTGTCGCCGCGGAGCTTGCAGGACGCGCGGGAGTACATGGAAGCCCTGGTGGATCAGCACCTGGAGGGTGGCGTTTTCGACCAGGGGTCCGACGAGGACTAGGTAGGTAGCTTGGTAGGTAGGCGAAGCGCACAGGCCTGCCCGCCGCCCGACAAAAGCGCGAGTAGGTTGACAATTGGGTTGACAATTGGGTTGACAATTAGGTTGACAATTTCGGGTCTGACAATTCCCCCGCGGGAGCTGTGTAGTAGTGCTCAAGCCTGTAAGCCTTCGACTTGGAAGCCATGGCTGCATCCGGCCAATTCGTCTTGGGGTGGCTCTTCGAGATCACCTTTCCGCTGCACCGGGAATTCTCGGAGCGGCCGCAGCCGCTGCTCCAGAACAGCCGCTCCTGGCAGTGCAGCTGCGACTACCACGAGTGGGCCAGGCTCATCCTGCGCTGCCTTTTGGCCGGCGCGGTCCCGCCGCACCGGCGCATGGAAGTCCGCATGCAGCTGCAGCGCGCGGGGCGCCTGGCGGGCATCTGCGACGAGATCGAGATGTTCGACGTGATGCGCGCCAGCTGGATCCTGGAGCGCCCCGTGGTGCCGGCCAGCTGGGCGCTGGGAGAGCCCGACGACGAGTACCTCCACCTGGTCGACGCCGCCCTGCCCGAGGACCAGCGGCCCGCCGGCGCCCCGGAGCTGCCCGTCGTCGGCGAGGCTCCTGCTTTCTCGGCGCAAATTCTGCAGGATGCGAGGGAGCACATGGCGGCGCTGGCGGAGGAGCACCTTCAGGGTGGCGTTTGGGACCCGCCGCCCGCGGACGAATCGGACGACGAGGACGAGGACTAGGAAGGACGAGGAGGTTGGTAGGTAGGCGAAGCGCACAGGCCTGCCCGCCGGCAAAACAAGGACGCGCGAGTGGGGCTGACAACTAGGTTGACAACTAGGTTGACAATTGGGTTGACAATTTCGGGGTTGACAATTTCACGTGAGCAGTCGCGGGGGTTGGGGTGGGCGGTTGAAGTCTCTGAGCTGGCGCACGGCCAAGGGCTCCGGCCGCCGAGTCAAACGGGCCACGGGCTCGCCGGAGCCACGGGGCACGGGCAGGGCGTGCTTGAGCAGGGTCTCGCTGCCGTCGGTGGCGCGGACCGTCATGGAGTCGAAGCTCGCCAGGTCCCTCGCGGGGCCGTACTGGGGCTGGAAGCTCCTCGCCGCATTCGTCGGAGCGCGGAAGGCGCCGGCCTCCTCGAGGCGCCGCTGCCGGCCCTCCGTGAGGTTCTTGTTGTGCTGGAACTTCTCTGCGTTATCCTGGTAGACCCTGAAGCTGGCGGCCGGCTTGGTCTCCACGTCCTCGGGCGCCACCGTGACCGCCGCGTGCGGCCGGGCGTTGTAGGCCCCCGCCACCTCGTCCACGTGGTCCCCCCAGCCGCCGCCGCTGCGGGCCACCTTGCCCGCCAGATCCTTCTTCAATGTTTGGATGGCGCGGTCTATCACCGCCGTGGCGTTCCTGTCCGCCGGGTCTTTTTGGCGGTGCCTCCAAACCCCGAAATTCGTTT